ATATTCTCATTATATTTCCTGCTGGAAGCCATTTCTCCCATTCGAGGGAATGACCATTCTCTCTTCCTCTTTTAGGAATGAAATTTCATTTCAACATAATGATTCCAATTCTCATTTGAATTCCTGTTTGAACCAAATAAATTAATTATAAGAATAAGACCATTTCAATTCTGATTCGACAAATTTCGATTTCAATTCCAATTTTGAGACTGTAAACCAAACAGATCCCAAATTAATGTGTTATGCCCTTTTAAATATGGACAAGTGCTGTATTCTGCGACTGTAGACTTTAATTAAGACAAGATTAATAACATGAGCGAAGATTCAAACAGCAAACCGAAATAGCTGAAATGAGTCTTGTTCCTTGACGAAGACGACAACGACAATGAATAGGAGTTTTCCTAGTCCAATCAGAAGAAAAGAAGGCATCTTTATTCGTCGTCTGAACAAAGAAGCAGAAACACTCTTAAAATACTGCTGCACAGTTACAAAATTGGTGTGATAAATTGTTCAAATCTGGTGATGACACGATGGATGGCAATCCCCTAACGATTCCGGTTGACTACATCCTTCCCATATCTATATCGTCCTCCATTTACTCCCAACAGACAACAGTCCATTCCATCTACAGTTTGTATCTGAACTTTGGCTGCTTATCCATTAATTATTCATGTATATATCTTCTATCGTTTGTTAGGCTTTATATATTTTTTATTGATATTCTTGATATCTACCTGATGTTTACTTGGGCACATACGTTCTGGGTTTCAAAGCGTGTTGCATTGTTGTTGCTTTGTTTACAGTAATGGAATTTTTTAAATATATGGAGTTGAATATGAATTACGATCGAGGGTGGTCATGGCTTAATTTATTTATTTATATATATATATATATATAAGAAATGTGAAGACAGGAAGACGTTGGGTCCCAAATTATTTAAAGGTTTGTTTGGTGAAGGGGAGCTGAACTGCACAACGGGAAACACTGGAGAGCAGTTGGAGACCACTGAGCTTACGAAACTTTTCACTAAAAGGAAGGCAAGTGGCTAGATATTCTGGAGAAAAGATAGGGATTTAAAGTATAAGCCCTTTTCAGTAACGAATCCAAGTTAGCCTTGCTTTTTTTTTTTTTTTGACTCTTCTAACTGATTGTTTGTAATATGTTTTCCCATGTCACTTGTTTACATTTTATTTCTGTTGGCTTTTCGGCAAGTTATTTATCCAGATAAATGCAATTATTTTAGTAAGTTTTTTCTGAGAAATACTTATCAAGGTAAGTGCATTTACCCATGGTCTTTTATTTCCTAGGTAAACAAGGTAATGACCATTTTAACCATAGAAATCTATTATTAAAAGGGGCATTTTTGTCACATTCAAGTGTTGGCAACCTTCCCCTTAGGTGGGAAAGTTATTTATCCACCTAAGAGATGCGGGTAAGTGATACCCAGGAAAATAAACTTTCCTTGGTCCCCACATAAATATGAAAAAAAAAAACATGGTATTCTTGGTCAATGGGAACTAAAATCTCATTGACCAACTTTCCCCCCTCTCAAAATCCCGAAAAAGAATACTCCTTTTAAAGGAAATGCCAGGTTTTTAGACCCCAAAATCGTTAGACCGGGCGATCGGACTGTTTCACCTGAGAACCAGCGGCTAAAATGGTTCTATTTACAGTCTGATTTTTAAAACCGTGCTTGAACAAAACTAGAAAAAAAAAAATACTTAAAAAGAGTACTGAGGGTGATATATTATTTATTTTAGACATGTGAATAACTTATGGTTGAGTCGTTTCTTGAACCCTTTTGGATTTAAAATTCTTTTTCTTCTTCTTGTTTCCTACTCACCCCTTGTTCATTAAAATCATTCTCATATTAATTCATTTCTTTACTGTTCTCATGGAGCCATTTGTAATTATTTAGGGTTTGGTCTTACATTCTACATCTGTGCTAGCACCTTTAATCATGCCCAGTATTTAATAAAAGAAAGAAACAAATTAAAAGGGTTCATGTAAACTGCAGGCCTAGGAAGAAATGTAGTACCACCAAAGGCTTGACAATGAATATGTTTTCTGGGGCCAATGGGCCGCATACTTCTGGGGTAGTTTCGGATGGACCGAGGGCCCTTGATCATGGTGCTTCAGGGGTAAGTCCAAACCCGGATTTGGGAGGTGGTCCAAACGAAAAAGTGAAGAGTCTGATTTCGGAGGGCTACGTAGTCCCGCCTCAGTATGGGATCGGCTGAAAGCTGCCACTGCTCACAGACGAGTTAATATGGTTTTAAGAAATGACCCGAAAATGGAACAGTTCTGGCCACTGGTTTCTGGATTGATAGTTCAATTGTCTGGTTTGAATGGATCAACGGTTTGACTGTTCAGATCAATGGATCATTAACTTTTTCAACGGTTTTTGGCCAGAAACCAGGTTTGGAGTAAAACAGAACCGGTTGTCTGAACGATTCTCAAGCTAAACGGTCTGACCATCCGAATCCACGGTGATTCAAAATCCATGCAAGCAAAGGTATCCTCTACACTGGCTAGGAATCTGACAAACCTGTTACTTGCAAAGAGAAACGTAAAAAAGTTGGGTTAAGGTTGATATGTAAAAAGAGCGCAGATAGAAACGTTTGATACTCAGTGGAATTAGCAAGGGAAAAACCTAGTTTTCAAGATACAACCACTGTCCCAAATTTAGAAGAAGGGGAATTATTGTAGGCAATTGCATCTACCTCAGTGAGAAGAAAAGGAAAAAAATCGACTCAGAAGTCGTCGGAGGCAGAGTTAGTGTGTACAAGTCAAGAAGAATTAATAGGGAAAGACGCCTAGAACCTTTGAAGCCCGAGTATAGAGGAACGTTCAGGTGGCGAAGGCTTTAGGCCTGCAGATTTAGGGCAGGAGAAGTTTGATAGAGAAGCTTTCCAAAAATTTGAAGAAGAAGCGTAGAAGGTGAGAGAGAGAAGAAGAAGAAGAAGAAAAACCTCAATTTGTGTCAATTTTCTGTTTCTGTCTCCGTCTTATTTTGTTTATGTCTTATTTTGTGTCAAACTAAACACAGCCTAAGGGATGAGTCCTAGTTGAACCCTTGTCAATCTGGCTAAACCTCATTATACTTTAATTTCCATCTATCGAGCTCAGTCGTCAAGCTTTATAAATTGGGTTCCAGCTTGAATCATCATATGAATTGAACCAAGAAAATACTTACACCCTCTAATTAACTAAGCTTAATTACAATAAGAAAAAAAAAAGTAAAATATACTATAGTTAAAGAATAATTCTGTCTTGAATTAGTGGTAAACTGCGGATGATACTAAAGGCTTGTTTGGTTCATAGGAATAGGGGTCATTCCAATTCCAACTGTGTGGTTGGATGGAATGACTGAATGAAATCGCATTCCTATTTTTATTGGAATGGCATTCCTCCATTTGAAGGAATGGCCATTCCCCCATACGAATAAATCATTCTGATTCTAATTTTTAAAGAGATTTTAATTTCAATTCCAATTCCAATTCCATATATAAACCAAACAGATCCTAAGTTACAGTAATCCCATACGTCGTCAAAGCTGAAATTCACAATGCCTGGGTTGAAGTCTTCATTCATTATTTGGAAGACTGTGTCACTGACTTGAGATTATAATACAGTAAATGAATGGTTACAAAATTGTTATAGAATACCTAATAAATGAGAGACATTCCATACCTTCCATGAGAAGATAGACTCCAGATTTCCTTTTTATGAAATCTCACATTAATTGGGCTGCAGCTGAGTGAAATAAATATTTTTTTCCTGTTTTTTAATCTCTTCTCTTTGATTAATCTCTCACTTGGACTCAATTTTTTATGGCAATCTCCAATCATTTTCAAAGCCAACTTAACACAAAACACAAATCCCCAGTTGATGATATTTATATAATTTAGATAGTTTAATTAATAGAAACAGATGCATCCATGGTCATACATTAGCACATTACTCATGCATATTTTATATTAGAAAATTTAAAGGTAGGAGTTTAGAGGAAAGCGGTGTCGTTAGGGTTTGGTGGGTCCCATGAAAGAAGAAGACTAATTTTTTGCGTGTCTTGGGATGCTTCATGTCATATATAACATCAGCTTTAAATTGAGAAATTTAAGTGGTTTCTTCTCTCTTTGTGTCTCCGGAGAAACTAAACCATGTAACCCTCTTATGGGTTGCCACGTGGGCCTATCCCTAACTGTAATTTGCTGATGTGTTTCCCTACACCCTTGCAACCTTTTGAGTAACAGATGGCAAAATTAGGAACGTCCCTCGTTGCCTTGCCCTACAAGTGAACTGATTTGAATCAATTTATCAAAATACCATTTATCATCTTGTATATCCTAATTAAATGAGGGGTGGGAATAGAATAGGCCTTGTATTCTGTTGGAAGTTCAATGTAGTAGAGAGACATATGGCAAGTTTTTATACAAATGGAAGCTAAGGTGTCATCAGTTACAAACTTACAATTGCCACGTCACCCTCTCACCATATGGCAAGTTTTATTCCCCAATAGCTCTATGCAAGATGGAAAAAGAGGCCAGCTCATTTTTCATCTTTATTTATCTACAAACATAAATCAAGAGAGTTGGTTTTGGATGTGTACATAGAGCGTGGCAAATCAAATGGCCATCTATCTCTCCCTTCCATAGTGGAGGACAAATTTGCATCTCTGACTAGAAAAGAACACAAAATAAAAAGTTACAAACAATAAAAAAAAATAACAATGCTACAGAGAAGATACAAATTCGATAGGATCCTTCAATGCCCTTCTAATGGTGTAATTGAAATAAATGTGAAAGATGACGAGAAATCCTGAGGAGGAGGTTTGTGAGTACAATAATAAAATATTCAAAATTAATAGAAGAATATTCATGGAAAACTGCGTCTCTCTTACACTACGTCTACGTCTTGCCATTTCCACACACATCAAACATACTATAAAACCAGAACTGCTCTTGGATTTTCCCACATTAAACCTTTCCATATATCTCTCCAACCCACAATCTCTAATTAACCTCAGATATTCTCAGGTTCGTTTCTTTGTAAGCTTCTTCCGTTTTTGGTTGGTATCACAACTGCAATTAATATCAGTTGGCCAAATCCATTTATATTATCTGTATTGATAGAATTTGCATTGGAAATATGATTGATTTTCTTTGATGCATGTTCGCAGGTATGATGGGAAGGTCTCCTTGTTGCGATGAGAGCGGTTTAAAGAAAGGACCATGGACGCCGGAGGAAGATCAGATGCTGATAGAATTCATTCAGAAAAATGGCCACGGAAGCTGGAGGGCACTCCCCAGTCTTGCAGGATTGAACAGATGTGGGAAAAGTTGCAGACTGAGGTGGACTAACTATCTGAGGCCCGATATCAAGAGAGGAAAGTTCTCTGATGAGGAAGAGAAAATCATCATCGACCTTCATTCAGTTCTTGGAAACAAGTAATCTTCCTTTATCTCTATTTCGTCAATTCTTAAAGCTGTTATATGAAAGGACATTGCAACAACTCAAGTGGCCTTGAGTTGGTGTAGTTTTCTGAATATATATATACATGTTAATTAACTCGCTCCATCGACTCGGTGTAGCAGGCTAATGTAATTTACTTTGGTTATTTAATTTCTCTTCGATCCCCTCACAGGTGGTCTGCGATCGCAAGCCATCTTCCAGGAAGGACAGACAACGAAATCAAGAATTTCTGGAACACCCATCTGAGAAAGAAACTTCTCAACATGGGTATTGACCCTGTAACACACAGGCCAAGAACCGATCTCAATCTCTTAGCAAATCTACCTCAGTTGCTCGCTATCACTAGCCTTAACAATCTGATGCACCCTTTGGACGCTCTCAGGCTGCAGGCAGAGGCCGCACAACTAGCCAGAAACCAATTGTTACAGAATCTACTGCAGGCCGTTAATGGAAGCACCCCTCCAAATCTGGGTGCAGTACTTAATCTCCAGGGATCATCATCTCCCAATCAGGGTTACAACCCCGCCGAATACCCACAACCCAACACCCAATTGGAAGGGCTGGTGAATAATAACCTACAAGCTCAAGCACTTCCGACTGCTAACCCTCTTGCTCCTGCTCTTCACCATGCTCATCAAATGTCTACCAACTTTGCGAATTCGGGAGTGATCCAACAACCATCTAACGATGGCCTGATCCCTGAAAACTCTGCTTACTTTGGTGGAGTCTGCTCAACGTTGATTAACAATGAATATGTTAATAATATCAGTAATAACAACTTGAACAGCTCAGATGGAATAGAACAAATGCCTCCATTGGTTTCAGCCTCTCCTGAAATGGAAGAAATGAAGCCCCACACTAACATATGCGACCCGCCATCCACCTCAACCACCTTTGACACTTGGGGAGAACTCAACCTGGACGATGATGGCAGTGATTACTGGGGAGATATGCTGGAGTATGTTCCCCACTTTTCCTCCCTATCACCAAGTGTACAGCTTTTTCTTTCTTTATATAATTTTCTAATTTCATAATATGTAATGTAGATCAACAAGGTAGATTTAATTAGTTCTAAAATATTGCTAACGAGTTTTGGTTGTTCTCTCTTCTGTCGTCTGTTTGTTTTGCAGATAAGCTAACATGGCTAGAGCTATGTCAATAAAAAAAATAATATCGCTCTGCAGCCAATCATCTTCACCGGCTTGGTCCATCTAATTACAGAATGCGCTATCTTAGATAGAGATTGTTCCATAAAAGAGTAATAGGAGAGTTCTCTCATGGTTTCTTTTATTTTATTAATTAATTTTTAGAGATTGGTATATTTATTTTTACAGAAAGACTGTATTCTTTTGTACTGGTTTCTTTGTTTCTCTCTTCTCTCTCCTCTCTGAATTGATACTAATTAATTCTCATTTGTGTAATAATAAAGTTACTACAATCTGATGACGATCATCTGTGAAATTTTCATGGGGATATTTGAAACTTCTATCATAAATGATCTGAGAATTAATTGCTTCAGTCCGGACTGTGTCTAGCTAAGATGGATCGATCGTTTTGATCGATCTGGCCAACTTTTAGTTGCATGTGTTTCATGCTAGCTAGACTGATGGAGGAATATATTGTAAAAATGGATGTAATTAACATGGTGGAGCTAGTTCAGTTGGGTAGCTTGGATGTTCTTTTCTTATAGTGGCATAAGGCCACAGACAGAAAGAGAAAGTTAGCTGAAACATGATCAACAGTATATTAATTAAAAATGGAGTTAGTTGTAGAGAGCTTGGACACACGAAACAGAAATATGAAAAGAAGAATGCCTTCACCTTCGTGAATTAGAAGGCCTCATTAGTGAATGACATGGAGGTTTTGACCTTTGAAAGACGACAAAGCATGTCAAACATCTCCAACGTGGACAGTCACAAAACCCCAGAAGAAATTTGATAGATCTCCAATGTGTTTGGGATTTTCTCTCTCAAGTGCTCACGCTGTGGAAGCTCATATCATATATAAAGCGGTCTATATTTAACAGTTTTTTTTATAGCTAAATAGGCTAGTAGGCCTTCATGAAGTCAAATTATTTGTTAACCATTAGGTAAGAGTATTTCCTTTGCATGCAAGCCATTGACTGTTGCAAAAGCCATTACCGACCACCCAAATTAAGTCTCTCTCTCTCTCTCTCATAGTGGTGTTTATCACATAATGCTTGTTAGTAATAAAAAGTACTGATTTCATGGCAAGCTCAATTTCAACTAAACGAAATTTTTAGTCTCGTTACTGATAATTTGAAGAGAAGGACAGCTTAATTAAGATGAAATTAGTATTCAACGAGGACGAGGACTGGATATATAAACAAATAAGCAATCCAACTTCAGAAGCGACCCTTGTCCAAGAAGGGACTCCGTATGATATATTTAGTAGGTATCTATTGACCTATAAAAGACAACTAACCTACCTACCTTTGCTGAATATGTTGAGATTCCAACCTAAAGCAACATATGATGGCATCATATATATACAAAGGAGAAGGTTTTTAAGGATTAATTAAATGATCGATGTTGATTCTTTTGGTTTCGTTTAAATTAACCCCACGGACATTAATTGTCAAAGTTTGGATGTGCAGTATCTGCATATGATGTGCAGTATTTGCACATCGCTAAGAATTTCAATGCAACAACTATTGATATCAGATAAAGACATGTTTCTACGAAGAAGCGTTTGTTCTAAGGCAGCAGTATAACCACTGAGCCAGACACTTTCACCCCGAGGACGAGTGAAATTAACCCAACTTGGATTAAGTGGGGCTCTTTTGCTCTTTCATTTGGAAGTTACAACTTGGATTAAGTGGGGCTCTTTTGCTCTTTCATTAGGAAGTAGTAATTTTTTATAGGGAGACTGTAAACTGTTTGGGCACATCCCACAGTGAAAAGACAATGACGCTTTGATTGTATATGGTAAAATTGAAAACAAGAGTTCTTTTATCTCATGATCATGATCAGGGTGTGACCCCAAATTACTCTCCTTTTCATTTAATATATTAAAGTTTCTTATTGTCAAAATTACTATTTTTCAATGTCCTTATTTGATTTTTTTTTTTTTTTGATAGAACTAAAATATGCTACACAAGACGGGGGTAGAACGCCCCCAATAGTCACCCTTACAAATAGCGCTTAGAGAACTAGGTAAGCTACAAGTATTGAGAAAAAAGAATCCCGAACTCGAGTGAGTTTGATTTGCAATCCAGTCTGTCGCTTGATTTGTCTCTCTGAAAACATGTCTACATCTAACCTTTCCCTCAAGCCGATCCCTGATCCGCACACAATCCTTAATAAAAGACCCGAGGTTCCAAGGAGGATAGGACCTATCAATAAGGCAGGAGATTATCAGCTTTGAATCCTCTTCAATAGTAATCTTCAAATCCCTGAAGTTTGAAGCCAAGTTATGAGCTTCCCATGCCGCCCATGCCTCCACAGTATTTATAGAAGAGATGCCCAAAGAGTAGCATTTGAAGTCTTAAACCAAACATGTAAAATCTTCTCATAATCTAATCTTTCTTTTTAGGGTTACAAATTAAAAAGAAATAATATATATATATATATATGTGTGTGTGTATGTATATATGTATGTATGTTTTTGATCCATAGGCAAATAAACAATTCTGTTTGCTCACACTGGTAATGAGTTTGTGATCAAGGATCAGAATTCAAGAACTTGGAAAAAGGGAATTGATTTGAACGTCTTACATGACAGGAGAAGAAAATTGGTTAAATGGAAATTTTAAGTCCGATCAAGGCTTTCTGTTGTGCTTGCTCTTTCTATTTGTTTTTCTTGTCTTTTCTTTTCCTTGTGATGGCTGATGGAAAATTAAATGCCACCATGATCATCTTGCTCCAATCCACGATTTCTTTAATGTTTACTCTCCTTTTTTTCTCTTTTCTTTTCTTTTCTTTTCCCATGATTGATGAAAATTAAATGCCATCATCATCATTATCAAAGCCTTATTCCAACTATATGGGATAAGACTATATGTGAATCCTATTTCACTATTTCGTTCTATTTAATTTTACATCCATTGTTAAATTATCAATGCTTTAATCATTTTTTCACTATTTTAACTAGGCATCACAATTTCCAGTCTACCCAGGGACCCATCCCCATAGAGCATGTTTTTTTGTTTGAAAATTGGATTTTCGGGCAGATACAGATTTTGGGATTTTACAGCCCATACATGTACAATTAAGGTATATAATATTAGGATAAATTCAACCCTCCCCAACTCGTATATTGAATTTACTAAAATAACCATAATGCTTATGATGATTAAATATGAACTCAAGTATTATGCATGTGTTGAATTTAATAATGTTTTGAATCTTACGTGAAGTATAATTGATAGTTTGTGCTTTTACATGTTTCAATCAAATAATTGGAAATTTTGATGTTTGTTCAAATTAATTTGCTTGTTTATTATATATAACAAAAAATAACTGGAAATTAGATGTGGGTTATGGACGACCCACCCCACCCTCAAATGTGAGGGCAGGGTTAGGGAGGGTTTTGCATTTTCATTTGTGGGGAGGGTTTGGATTCTGAAAATCCAACCCAATGTAGGTTTTGGGAGGAGGGTTTAAAATTTACAAAACCCTCCCTGTAACTATCCCTAATTTCAACCCATGGCCTTTTTGCTTTTACCTCAAGGTGGCAGTTCAGCAATTTAACCATTTGATTTTGAGTCAAATTGCCGATACATGAAGTCCAAAATCGAATAATAAAAATATAAAAATAAAAATATATCAGAAAATTACATAAACTTGGACATGCATGTCTCTAGTGGTATATATATCCATCATTCTAAACAAAAATATATAAATGTGGTAAATGAGAATTATTTCCATTAATAATGGAAATGGCTAAAAATAGAAAGAAAAAGATTATTACCATCAAACCCAGTTCTGCACTTAATTAATAGGGTAAATTGCTGAAACCTACCCTGGAAAAGGTATGAAGATGTCCAAAATACCAATGCAATTATTATTGAGGCTGGTTTCTACAAGAAAAAAAAAACAATACGAAACAACAAAAACAAAGAGAATTTAAAGTTGCAGTTTACTTTGAGTGATTTATATGAAGGGAAGATTTAGAAAATAAATCAATTTCAGAAAAGAGATTGGAATGGTTTGTAGTGAACAGTGATTCATATGAAGAGAAAATTTGGAAAACAAACATTTTTGTTAAAAGTAATTGTATGGGTATTTTGGACACCTTCATGCCTTTTTTTAAGAAAATCTACCACAAGTGGTCTATTTGCAACTATGTCAGAAACTTTAGGGGAGGTGATTGTAATTATCAAACTTCAAGAGAAGTTTCAGCAACACCCAGAAATCTTCAGGGGAGGTTTCAGCAATTTACCCTAAAAAAGAAAAAAATAATCATATCTTTATACCTAAAACCTAATTAAATCACATTCAGACACCACCAAAGTGGTGTCAAGAATATCAATAAAAAATATATAAAGCCTAACAAACGATAGAAGATATATACATGAATAATTAATGGTCATTCTTGAAATTTGAGTTCAGATTGAAAGGTATCAAACCCTATAGTAAATTCTAATTTTAGATTGAAAGGAATAGCTCATAAAAATCAATTTGCAGTAAAGAACTGAGTTGTGCTACTTTTAGGTTCCAAAGGTATCAAACCCTATAGTAAATTCTAATTTTAGATTGGTCATTCTTGAAATTTGAGTTGATTCACAGAGAAATCTTTGATCAGAAAACAGTGAAAAAATTAAGAAAAAGCAAACTTCCCTCTCTGTGTACCATATCTTATTCCCAACCAAGGACTTTTTACTTCAGCTATCAAAACAACCAAGTAGCAAGAATACTATGTTATTGTGCTTCAAGTGATAAAAGTTTTATCTCGGATATCATAGCAAAAAACAGAGAGATCACAAGCATAAATTGGAAACTGGCCTACGTATTAAATGGGGTAAATCCATTAAAACAGATTTGATCTACGATTCTGCAGTATTTGGTGGATTAAAATGAAGTATACATGAAATAATTGAGCTGAATAGGTCCTAAGGAAATGGATTGTTTTAATAAAAATCTCATCAACTTTTTATGATTTTGAGAAAGTCAAACTCAAACCCATTCTCGTTGCTCAGACAGACATGCTTTCGTCGGTTCAATACCTACAACCAATTTGTGAACTAGCCATTCTTTATATATAGATGGAAGTTACAAGTAGTGGCAGAAAGACCACTGATAACTCACTTTTGATGAATTCCATCCAGACGAAGCATGGCCAAGAAGCAAAGTTGAAAAATCTCTAACATCAGGAATCCACCAATCAAGCTGCCCCACAGAGAGAAATCTCCCATCCGAGCTAGTTAGTTTACTTTAATGGATGATAAGTTGTACTTGCCCTATTGACTTTTTTTATCGC